AACTGTACACAAACTAAGGCAATTTTAATATTAATAGAAAAAATACTCGCACACTTTAGTTACTGAGCAGGCAGATGAAGGCCACTAATATTACATAATGGAAAGGACAAGTGATGTTATTAAGTTGGTTATTTTGTGATTCTAGCTTCATTCCACGCCATATTTTTGGTACAAGTATGGAATTTTCAGCATGTGATATCGGTAGCCCAATTTTACAGGCCGACCCATTAATATCAGGTGTGCATCGGCAGGGGATCTAACCCTGGACAATTTGCATGGTCGGCAGGATTCCTCACCTCTGTGCAACCAACACTGAATAGGAATAATTACGAGAATATTGTTCAGTTAGAAATGGAAACTGCGAATCCACTATAGGTGTGAGATTAATACCACATGTATCCAGCAGTTTTTGTACCAATACACATACATAAGACGAACAGATTGAAGGATTTGTGACCACATGTTTGGTCATATTTTGAGAAACTTTTGACTGAAGATAAGAAAACTCCTTAGTATTGTGACTGCTCACCACTTAACAGATGGTGGTCATAAAATCTGTTTTAAAATCATTCAAAATAATTAAAGCTCAGGTCAAATACAGCTTACTACGGATCACGGAAGGGTAGGTGTTAAACGGTTAAAATTGAAATTACGCACTCTGAAAGAAACTGTTGTCAATCTTGCTGTAAAATAGTGAATATTTCTTTATTTTTGTTCTTTTGATTATATTTTGTTTCGACAATATAATTTCATGCTCTTAATTTCTATTTCTATCAGTACTTTTAACTTGACTATTGTTTGACCACTGCTCAACTGCATTATTTAATGCCTAAGTAACATTGCTATCAGTTTTAAAGCTCTAATCAGTTTCCTTCTCTAGCTACAGAATATTCTTGTGATTATATATATATAAACTAACATGTTTACTAACATCTTCTATACTTTCCATTATGCTATATAATTACATAAAAACCATGGCTTTTATCTTAATGCTGAGTAACTGAAATATGTGAATATTCTTTTTTTATTGTTATTAAAATTGTTACATGTTCAAGTGCTGGATGGCAGATATTTGATTTATTTAGTTACAGGATTTGATCGTGAACTAAAATCGGTTAGAGAACCATGGAAAACCGACCAGAGAGCACTAGACTGCTGTTTTGTCAACCTTGTTGGGACTCTTCATCAGTACGCACTCACCGGGATTCAGACCCAGAACCTTCCGGTTACAAAAGTGATCTCGTAGACCATTAAGCCCCTGGGAACCAATCCAGTGTCCCATTAATCCCAAATTCTACCAATCCACGATATAACGCGACCACTAGCCAGTGTCATCTGTGAGTATATGTCCTTGTACCCAACTTGCTGTACTCCAGTGGTTATGACTTCTCACTAGAACCAGGTTGTATGCAGTTGACGGTAACCAGAAAAATAAAATCATATCGTAGTATCTTGCTTAATCTGTTGTTCTTACTTTGTTCAGGTTATGGATTTGTTGTAGAATGATTTAAGTAACAGGTCAAGTGTAGGATATGTATGCATTAAATAACTTACTTTTTATTAAATTAGAAGTTTATACTTATTCTATTAACTTCTCAAAATGAAACTATTCATATTAAGTTTATTTAAGGTATTTTTTGGCTTATAGTTGGATTACACTCCCAACTAAATTAATGACCATCTGTTATGATACAGTTGTTAATGTGAGTTATAAAAAAGTACAGTTACTTGCAAATTGGGTTAAGTTTACTTCTACAATTTAAACAGTATAATCCTGAGGTATGGTTCACAGTTTATGGTAAGATGATGTTTTCTCCAATGTGGATGTTTCGAAGGGGTTATTGAGAGCTTTTTGGATGAGGATGATAGAAACCTATGAATTCCAAAGTACTCAACCAATAATTAGGGTGGCTGGTAAACAGTTGCGGAGATTGAGAAGACTAAACGAGGACAAGGAAGTGTGTATTTCCAGTCACACGAAAAAAAGTTATCATTGAAACAAAGATGTCAGTTAAAATAAAAGCTATACAAAATGTGTCATTTCTTTACATTCAACAAAAAGTGTACAGAATCGTTAGTCTGGGCTCTACAGTCGTAATAAATAACCATAAGTATGAAAGAACATGGGTGTGAGTAGGTCGCGCTACATATCATAAATTGGCAGAAGTTATAACTGATGAGCCATTTAATTCCGTCACTGTAAATGTAGTACTTGGGCACTGTGGTAAAATGCAATTCCATATTAGATAAGTTTATTTTAAATATCACACAGCGATGCATTATTAACAATTGGATGACGTCTCGAGAACAATTTATTGCCAGTATTCATCTCAATTCATTCATAGGGTTTCACAATTTATCTTATAAATTTTTCCTCTCTTTCTGTCTCTTCGAATTCCCTTTGTTGTTTGTTACCACTTTCCATATATATGGTATAAGCGGTGCATCATTCCGATTGCACATGTGAGTAGTGTTGAATCGATAAACAAAACCTCAGTGATTAACCTGTCTCTCCCACCCTATTTTGTGATTACATGCAAATGAATGCATTGCAACGGCTGGGCGTTTTCTAGGTTATTTCAGTCACCATTATCAATCATTCGATGTCTAGCTAAATTTTCATGTTTCAATAATCTAGTTGACCTCAATCTACTAGGTTGACCTACGTAGTTGACCTCACATTCATTACATGATATTTCGTAAATTTTATTATTTATCTATAATATTGGATGTATCGTGTTCTGAAGCCGACAAAGTTTATCTATGAAAGAGTTAGTTGGTTTAAATGCTATCCTAATTCCAGCCTCATTGAGAATCCTACGTAAGGCCTCTGACGTCCCTTCTTTATACGACGGCACTATAGAGGCTTTGAACTCAATGTTATTTTCATCATTTGTATTACTAATCTTAGTTTTCCTATGGTTCTTCATATATTTCCATCCCAGTGGCTGAATTGTCAACGAGATCACCTTGTGACCTGAAGCTTCTGGGTTCGATCCCTTGAGGGATCATGGCTGTACACTTCTGAAGAATTCAAAACATGGGAGGAACAGCTATCTAGTAGTTTGTGGTTTTCAGTAGCTCCCTAAATGATATCAGTTTGTGGTAAACACTGAAACAGGTCAAATCCCTGCAAATCATCACCTGAAAATTTAGGCATATCTTGATTCGACTTAAATAACTATGAATTCATCATTTAATGAATGCGATCACGTGAATAATACATTGTAATTACTATTGAAAATGCCACAAAAGAAGAAAAGAATCATTTTTATTGTATTTTATTATGATTATAGAGTAGAAAAGGGAACAGTCGGCTAAGTTTTTTGTTTTTATTTGAAAAATACCAGGTGGAATAAAATGTACCTTTATTATGTTTTGTTACCGGGTTTTCCTCCAGAAAATATGATCATTCCAGTTTAGGCAAAACATGTTACTGTTGAAAAAGTTTGCCCCTTTTATTATTAGTTCACGTATCTTTGGTGTAATTAATCACTTTACTTGTAAACATTAGATGGTATAATCAACTACTCTTGAAGGTCTGTTAATCAGTAAGACTTTGTTGGTCAGCTGATGAAGGTATTTTAATCGTATTCTGTAGACAAATAGGTAAATGAATATCATGGCTTAACATTCCTCTTGATCTCAAGCAGTAGTTTGTTTATCACAATAGTGTAAAACTATTCCCTTATCACTACTGAGATTCTGAAAATCTTTCCTTCAAGGGACATAAAATTTCCAGCTATTGTTGAATATTAGTCTTAATTTATATTTTCATACCGGTACTTAAAGTTTGAGTTGTATATGTAACAAAGAGAAGCTGAGGTTCACGCGTCATTGGATTCCATCCCAATGGCTTAACAACCAACGGACTTCCCTCGTAAGCTGGATTCGGTCTTTAGTAGGGTAGTAGGTGCTCACTTGTGAAGATTACCGGACTAGGGTGAAATAGATGTCTTAGCGTCTCTTAATTTCAATAATTCTTTAAGTGATACCAGTTTGTGACTAAATCCACCCCAAAATCAATCAATACCTTGCAACCCAGAAGTTGCATTATTATGATTATTTCCTTTTATTCCTAGGGGAACATAGGGCTTCAGCTGCGAGTCTCCATTGCCTTCGGTTTTCTGCCAGCTTTTCACCCCCCTCCAAGTATGCCCACACGCCTTCATCTCCTCGTCACATGACCCCCTCCATGTGACCCTCACACTGAAGGCTAACTCGCCGCTTCCCTTTCGGGTTCCACTCGAGCAATGGCTTGTCTAGTGATGTCACTTAATGGCTCGTTTTCTCAGAGTATGGCCAGCCAATCCATCTCCATTTCTTCCTGCCTATTTGTTTCACAGTCGGTTCCTGCTGGGTTGGTTCGCTCCCAGAGATCCCTGTTGCTGATCTTTTCTGTCTAGCCATCTGATCTTGAGTAGTATTGAGCGAAGACAACTGTTAATGAAGGTCTTTAGTTTGTTGGAGATGCTCTTTATTACGCGCTGGCCAAGTCTCTGATCCGTATAGCTAGTAGCACTGACTTCACATTGGAATTGAAAATCTAGATCTTATTTTTGATGCTGAGCGCTGTTGACCTCCACACAGATTTGAGAGTAATGAAAGCTTGTCTTGCTTTTTCGATTCTGGCTTTGATATCCTCGTCAGTTTCGCCTGTAGTTGACACGATGCTTCCCAGGTAGGTGGGTAGGTAAAGGAGATTGTTTCTTTCAGGTTCCTCCCATTTATGCTGACTGATTGTTGTCTGCTGTTGCTGCTGGCCAGGAATCTTCATCACCTCTGTTTTCTCTATGTTAACCTGAAGGAAGTCCTATCTTTGATGCTTCTTCTGTAAACCACCCAAATGTTGTAGAAACTAAGTTTTCAGTTGAAATCATACTGATATCAGCCTAGATATTATAATCAATCTGGTTTCTAAAAAATTTCACTTTTTAGTTATTTGCACAGTATATATTACTCTTTGCTGATATGTTTGTGTTTTTTTCTAAATCTTACAGATTTGTTACTGTTGGACCACTGCGATAATTAATACGCTTGACGGGTGTTCAAGTGAATTAAATCAAATTTTAGATACATTAAATGTATCTGATGTAAATAATCCTACAGTCAATAATGATTCTAATAACAATATTGATGATATTAGTAAATGTTTAATGGACGACGGATTATTGATGGATATTATCACCGATAATGATGCATTTTCGTCAGATCCATTAAACTTTGATTCATCATGGCCTAGATCACCTTCGTCTTCATCTGTAACTAATGCTACAAACAATTCATGCGATTTCCTTGATGATTTTAGTTGGCCAACATCTACTGGATTATATTTATGCCTTTTACAACCTATAAATAATTACGGTTCAACAATGTACCCTTCCACTGAAAATACAGTGACTGATACTGGTGTTACTACCAGCAAAGACAATGACACTGTGGATAGTGATAAACTCTCTAATTCATCTCTTTCTGAACCAACTGAAGAGGAAGAAAAATATGATTCTGCTGAAAAACCAGATTGTCTCCTTCCTTCTACACCGTGTAAAAGTATGAATAGTAATTGTTCTGATAAATCAGAACTGGAGTCATCCAGCCTTGCCTTATCATCACCATCATTATCAACACCGTTATCAATACCAACATTGTCCCAACAAAGTAATGATTGTTCACAACCGAAATCCTCCCACTGTCTTACATATTTAAATTTTGCACTAAAGATTGAGACAATAGAGGGGAAGTAAGTCAGTACTGTTTTTGTTACTTTTATCTCAATAGTAACAGTATTTTTTACACATCAGCTCTTAAATAGTAATTTGAATACCGCTGGTTTGACTCCTCCTGTCACTTGAATACTAGTTTGTACCTCCAGTCATTACTCATAACTTTGTATGTAATGGCTTTTATAGTAATCATCTATAAACCTAATCATCTTAGTTATTCAGTTATGAACATGTTTCTTATTCCACGTTATTAGATGTTTGAAATTTGATTTAAGGCATTACTAGTTCGGCCAAGTAGCTAGCTAGAATTCGAGTGGTTTGAACTGATTCGGCTATCTGAAATGAGTTAAATCGGTTACACCGTTAATGAGCTCAGCCCCAAACGAGCGAAACAGCCGTTCGGTGTTTAGACCACTTCGATATGACTAGCAAACGCTGTTGGTTGATGTAACTGGTGTCCAACTACTCAAGTTTATCAGACAGTAGTATGCAGAGCCATGTTTAGACATGGTCGAATGATAACCTTTTAGATAAAAATTCTGAATTATTTGGTGTATTAAGCATATCTATATATTACTCACTAGTAGTGTCTTCTATTCATCAAAACATCTAGTTTCTATCAAAAACAGTTCGAGTTTTTGTTCTGTCATCTGCATTAGCTGTAAGATTAGCAAGGAAAAAGGGAGGTATTCGTTAGGTATTCGAGTGAATATTCCGTGAAATTCTTCTGAATTAATCTACAGCGCCGATAAAATTATGATCATTTTGTTATCAGATTTCTTAATCGAATCAGTCTTCAGTAGAAAAAAAAGAAAAGAAATGCATTTTAACGATTTTTTTCGTTCTCTCTTTCCATATATTCATGGCTAAATATTAAGTATTAGCTTTCATAATTTCTTTTTACCCTCTTTGCCAAACAAGTTCTTGAAATATACCAGATAGAATGATCCCGAAGTAGTCCTTTCGGACAGTGGGAAATTTTCATTTTCCAGTACATCAACCTTGTCATTTTACTAAATGATTTGCTTTGTTTCGGATTTACCTCTATAGTATTTTTAACGTAGTTCTTGTTTAATTAAACTAATCCAAGTATCTATCTAAGATTTAGGCGAATGAACCTGCAATCTGGCGATTATTCAGTATTTCTTTCATGTTTACAAGCAAGTAAAGGATAAGTGAATTTTATCCTATCTACTTGCCAGCTAATGTGTCATTTTTAAAACGATTCCTTATTATATTAAACACTTTTTCAATTGGTTTAGGCTTCTGATACTTACTATGACAACGAAAAAGTACACGAAAACGACTTGAAAACATCACTTTTTGATGAAGTTTTATCCCTCCGTTTGTGTTTAAGTTCATCCCTAAATCACCAATTTGCTGTCTGAAGATTTGTCTATATTAAACTTTTAAAATCATTAATTTTCTCTAGTTTGGTTTGTAAGGGTTAGTTCTGTTTTTACGAGTTGATCACGTATTGATATCAGTTAGAGAACCATTGAAAACCAGGGAGTACTAGACAGCCGGCTGTTTTATCCTAGTTTGAGAATCATCGGCAGTACGCACTCGCTGGGGTTCGAATCCAGGACCTTCCGGTTACAAGGAGGGCTCGTATACCATTCAGCTACTGGGACCCGATTCAATGGCTCATAAATTCTAAATTCTACCAATTCGTGATTTAGCGTGACCCCAACCATTTGAATCGGGTCCCAGTGGCTGAATGGTATACGAGCCAGCTTGCCTTGTAACCGGAAGGTCCTGAATTGAACCCCAGTGGATGTGTACTGCCGATGATTTCCAAACTAGGACGAAACATCTGGCTGTCCAGTACTCCCTGGTTTTCAATGGTTCTCTAACTGATATCAATCCATGATCAACTCACAAAATCATTAAATCTAGTCAAACGGGAGTACCTCACCTCAAGTGTTACATGTGTTTGAAACTTCGAAAACTGTATTGTGTTAAATATCTTAGAAAAGCGGAGTTTTAATACAACACAACATTGTGTCAGAAATCTAAACAAAAATTCCATAGAAATATTCTGTGTATCAATGCGAATTTAGATTACCAGGCCTCTTGCAACCAGTTGATTCCAGATGAATTAATAGAGTAGAATTCAAGAGAGATTTAAGCTTCGTAACAGCTATGAAAAACAGCAAAATATTTACGAATAATAAAACAAATAACTTATTGTATCAGGTCTGTAACAACAAAATATGACTGTTGACTGGCGATTATTTCAATCTTGTTACATTCAGAATAATTGTGATATATTTTGAAACAATTGGCTTGTTAATATTTCATAATAAACGTCAGATGTTAAAAGAAAAACAAATAAGCAATAGTAAGTATCTGGAAATGTCAGTGAAGCATCTTGAATGAATGTAGCCAGCTAGATTTATAAGTTAGGCAAAGGGTCTGCGTGAATCATCTCCCTGTGAAATGAGAATTAATTTAAGCCTTTGTTTCGATATTCATTAATCCTAATGACTAATCAATAATTATTTGTGTTAATTGTTAGTTTATCAATCAGAATACCTGAAAATGTAAATAAATAAATAATAAATAATTTTTCCTTCAAGTTTCAAGTGGAACATAGGGCTTCAAGCTAGAGGCTTGAAGTTTCTGTAGCAGTGTTTGTTTTACAGGATGGGGTTGCTAGCCTCATGCCCAACCTCTCCTCTTAACCAATCTTACTACCGATTTAGCGAGGTAAAGGAGTGCGTCGGTCGGGGATCGAACCCCGGACCATATGCATGGTCGGAGAGCGTCCTAACCGCTGTACCACCGATGCACTCCTGAAAATGTAAGTCACAGTTTATTCGGATACATACACACAGTTCAGTTGAATGCATCCAAAGGAGCGCTTAGGCAGTAAAATGTAGACTAGTTCCTTTTTTCATCTTTTTATTCCTAACAGTACTGTGACTGACCTTCTGCATGAAAGATTTTCATGCATAAATTTTAACGATTTACTTTGACTTTGTGTGGAATAAAAAATCTCAGCTTGTAATCTTTGTGTTGCTTCAATATTCTGCATTACAGTTATCAGGAGTGTTTCAATGTTAATGAGGACAGCAGCTTAATTGGCTATTCTTATTTGGAATTTATTCATCCTGATGATTTACAACAAGTGATTAATATTTTTGATAATGGTAGGTATTTCTATTTAACTCTTTAAGCTTGATTTTATAGTTATGTAATGTAAACAATTGGACTTAGACCTAGGTACAAAGCACCGAAAGGTATTGAGGCATCTAAACGAAATACTGAGTAAGACTATTCTACTTCATTGAGCAACGAAAATATTTGAAAACAAGGACTGGACTAGGACGACTTTTTTATTATTATTCCCATGGATTCCGAGTGTAACATAGGGCTTCAACAACACATCTCCACATTCTCCTATTTGCTGCTGGCCTCTTTGGTTGAGTCCGCGATTGCCGAAACTCTTTCTTCTCCTCCCCAAACGATTTTCTCCATGTCACTCTCGCACCAACGACCACTCAACACTTCCGATGAGGATTCCCCTCGAGTTCCGATCTGCATGGAGGGCGATCTCATTCAACAGTCTCCTCAACGTATGTCCGATCCACTCATCTTCATTTTCCCTTACATATTTGCTGGCAGTAGATTCTTGGTTGGTTTGTTCCCACAGTTTCTTGTTGCTAATTCTTTCTGGCCTGTCTCGGCCGGCCATTTTATCTTTATTTTGCAGTCAGAGAGGGTGGCAGTTGTTGATAAAAGTCTGCGACCTGTGGAAATCATTTTCGTGACGCGGGTGCCAACTTTCTGATCCATATAGAAGAAGTAACTGAATGACTTCACATTTGTGTTGAAAATCCGAATTTTGTTTTTTATGCTAGCTGAGTGTAGAACATTTCCAAACCGATTTCAGGTTGGTGAGCGTGTATCTTGCCCTTCTGATCCATGCTGGTTATGACATCTTCATCCGTGCCATCCGCCTACGGTTGAAACCGTGCTTCCTGGCCATATAAGTGAAGGAGGTAACCTCATTCAAATCTCTTCCGTTGATGGTGATTGGTGCTGGTTGTTGATGTTGCTGTCGGTTGGTTGGTTATCTTCATCGCCTTCGTCTTCTCTCTGTTCACCTGGAGTTTTGTCTTCGCTCCCCACCTGCTTCTTCTGCTAGTTTGTTTGTATGAAACTAGACATATGTCATCTGTGAAATCCAGATCTTCTAGAGTCTTCTTATTAGTGATTTAGTGCATTCCTGACTCTTTGCCCCAAATGTCTGACGCATAATCCAGTCACCACAACTAAGAATATCATCAGCGATAGTGGGCAGCCAGCTCTGTCTTACTCCTGTATTCACGTCGAACGCCTCACTGAGTTTTCCGTTGTGGATCACCTGACACAGGCCACTGTCATTTAGTTGTTGAATGAAGTTGATGAAGACTTGAGGTACTTCGTAGTGTTGAAATAGTTTCCAAATTACGTCTCGTGATCGCTATTTTTCGACGGCCTTTTCGAAGTCGATGAAATCAAGGTAGAGTAGAGTTCGCCTTCCATTCTATGCTTTGTTCGATGACGATGCGTAAAGTTGGAATTGTATCAGAACATAATTTGCCCTTCCTGAATCCTGCTTGTTCCGGTGGGATGGAGTTCTGTATGCAGTGCATCTTTTATTCTTTTATTTATATATATGTACATATAAGCAGATTCCAAACAGTAACGAATGCCAGACTACAGTGATGAAGTTCTTCGAACATTCTAAATAAACCTATGAACTCACACATTACTTAGTGTTCACTTCTACACTTATATCAGCAAAAATCTGTGAATCATCCAGCACCACTCCATTTATAAGTAAAACAGTAAAGTCTGTATTTAATGAGTATTTTATTTTACATGGCAATGAAGTGAAGTAAAACAGATTACTGACCACTGAGTGTATGTGACTGTTGAACGCCGTGAACGTATGTATCTTTTTTCACTACAGAAAAGAACAGCTGCATCTGGCAGTGTTTTCTTCACAACTGTTAGATAGATAAATAATAATTATTGATAATTATTTAAATATGCTTTAAGCATTACCATTAAAAGTTCAAGCTATCAATATCGTCTATACCGAAGGAAATTTTTGTTTGAAACATTTCATTTATAAGGCGATTGATAACGATTGCACTGTATTCTATCTATTCTGTATTCATGGGTTACAATTATCAACTTATAAGAAAATACTATCGATAATTAGAGTTTTAGTCATATATATATCAATAGGCTTTATTTCAGACACTATGCGAACATATGGTACAAACATTTAGTCCCAAAATACAGTTTTCTCCATACAGGATTTACATGTAAAGTAGTAATCTGAAGTATATCTTCATTTCGTTCAAGAATTGAACAGCGTTTACTTGGAAGCAAACTAAACCAGCGCGCAATTTCATGCGTAGGTCATCTGATATAATTGAACGATTAAAACAATGATAAATCCATATGAAATTAATCATTTTGGTGGAAAGTAATTTTCATATCAAAGTGATTCAAGCAGGCCACGAATTAATAAATAAATTCATTAGTAAACAGATTCGGTTTAACTTATACTGATAAAGGGTTAAATCACTACTAGACATATTCCCGCTAACTTTATTTCTCCACCTTGTGCCATTTCCTTTCTTTTAGTAACACACACCAGTTCTCCCAGATGGATTAGTCCATATAGAATATCAGTACCAAATGAAAATTTAAATATTACAGTCGAAAAATCATTTCAATGGATACGCAGTTTAGTATTTTACAATAAAGTAGACAAGATATTTGTTTGTTTTCATCGATTCCTTGGGTGAGTTCAGTTTTACAAATTTTCTGCACTGATTAATCTGAGTAGATCTCTTTTAATTCTATATTAGATAAGTTTATTTGATATAACACACTCTGATGTACTATTAATAAGTGGATAACGTTTAGAGCAGAATTAATTGCTCATATTCATATCAATGCATTTAAACGGCTTCATAATTTGCTTTTACATACTTTTTTCTCTTCTTTTTATTATTCGATACAATTTTCTGTCTATCTGGTATAATTGGTGCGTTGTTCCGATTGCATGTGTGCGGTGTCGAATAATCGATAAACAAAGAATCAGTGATTAACCTCTCTCTCTCCGCATAAATGTGCTACTTTTCAATATTCTCACCCTATTTTGTGATTACACGCAAATGAATGCGATGAGCTGTTTCTAGGTAATTTCAATTAGCATTGCCAATCATTCTAGATCATTCTAGATTTAGCTAAATTTTCATGATTCAGTAATCTAGTTGACCCCAACCTACTAATTAAACCTACTTGGTTGACTTCACATTCATTGCATGATATTTCGTAAATTATATTATTTATCTATCATATTGGATGTATCGTGTCCTGAAGTTGACAAAGTTTATCTATGAGAGAGTTAGTTGGTTTGAATGCCGCCCTAATTCAAACCCTGTTAAGAATTCTGTGTGGAGTCTCTGATGTTCCGTATATATATGGCGTTACTATCGAGGCTTTGGATTGATTATTACTTACATTACTAATCTTGTTTTCCTTATGGGTCCTCATATATTTTTGAATGAAATCAAGTGGTTAGTTATTCACTATTATTTCCTTTATTTGTTAGATTGCATTATGTAAATTTCCTGACTTACCAGTTAGGTTCCTGGCCTGATAATATAAACAATTAATTTAACTTTTATTGATTTTGGGTGGGGTATATGAAAACCACACAAGGGCAACCGAAATGACGCAACGTCCCTACCGGGTGCATAGAAAATTGCATTGAATAATAAGGGGAATAGAGAAAAGTAGGTACAGCAATTTATGAAGCCTTGTGAATGCATTGATATGAATATGAGCAACGAATTGTGCTTAAAACGTCATTCAGTTATTAATATACAACATCACTGCGTGCTATATTAAATAAAGTTATCTGGTATGGAATTACATTCTACCACAGTGACCATGTTCTACACTTACATTATATCTCTTTTACTTATATTTGCTATTTGATGACTATTAAGTTGATTACCTCTCAGCATAAGAGTGTCCCTGAAAATTAGAGAATACTAATTACCTGTTCGTAGATTGAAGTATCGATAACTTAAATCTGGTTCACTATTTAAAAGTAAAACCAGTAAATTAAAAGTCGAACCCTAAGATGAAGGTTCGTTCTCCATTATGGATAAGACTTTATTTTGATAAGTCACACAGTGTTGTACAGTAATATTTACTCATGACCACGTTGAAAGCCCAAATTATTACTCCTATAATCATATCAAGATACTACTTACACGAATTTTTTTGCTTCATTTATATACATGAGTAAAAATTGATGGCTATTCATTTGAATAAAATATTGTTTTCAATCAATTACAATAAGATGGGAAACAAGATGCTTTTATAGTAAAAATAAGTAACTTCTTAGAATGCTATAATGTGAATTGAATACATTTTAACATTATTTATTATCCTATGATTTGGATAATAATAATTCTTCCATATCTCTGGTATTTGCGTTGAGTCACTTCTGTTGTATGTGTTGGGTGTAATCTCTCTCTCCACCTACCTATATTACTTTTTAGAATTTTGACTCTGTTCCATCCTATTGTGTGATTGTGTGTTAATGCATGCAGTGCGATTGCTGAGTTCTTTTGTAAATCACTTATCTTCGTGGCGTCGATCATCTTAAATTCTTATGTTCTGATAATCTGACTACTCCCTATCTAATAGTCTGACCTATGTAGTTGACCTCACTCACAGTCATTGCAAAATATTTTGTAAATTACATTATTTTGTTTATTTGGGTCCACCAGGTCCTTTAGCCTACAGAGCTTGTCCTACCTGAGTGAGTTTGTAAGTTTGAATGCCACCCTAATTCCTGCGTAGGGTCTCAGTATACCCTCTTTATATGGTAAAACTACTGTAGATGTCTTATATTCTTTCTTATTTATGCTATCATCATTAGTTTCACAGTTATTTTTAATTTGTCCTTGACCTTTCTTGATATTCCTAAAGAATTTTATAGGATAGTTACTCAACACCAACGCCTCTTCTATCTGTTTCATTTCATTATTTAGTTTGCTTTTGTTGTACTACTTAGTGCTATCGCTAGGTCTGTTAGACACTTGACTAAGCCTGCCGTTAAGAACAATGACGGATGAGATGAATTAAAGTCTAAATATCCATTAGAATAGGTTGGCTTTGATTCGTTCTCTTTGACACTCTTCAGTAGTACGTATCTTCATACAGGAATTTTTATCTGTTTGAGGAAGTTGAAAATAATATTTTTTAAAGACTTCTTGTTGGCTGAATCTTAACACCTAATAAAGTAAAAGAGAATGCATCGCACTGTCGAGTTACTTTGGTTTACCAGGTACTTCTCATACACTCATATTATGAATTAAAGATCAGTCTGAAGGAAGAATATCCCTTTCAGATTCTTACAGTTGTAATTAATCACAATTATTTTTTGTTACACTTATGGCCAGTTATTCAGCGAATACATTATTAAGTAGAAAAACAAATGTTATTATTTGAAACTTAAAACAATTAGTTCCCTTTCTGAATTTAGATAAAGCAATAAGAAGACGTAATTTGTCTGAATCGTGTAATGTATTTGCGCAACACATTTCGAACAATCTAATCACACACGGACTTGTCATAGGAATATATATGAAATTAATAAAGAGGTAAGAGGTGAGAAAAATAGACTTAGGTCAAGTTAAAAGGACATATTCAAGGTCAAAGTAACAATGACGACCACTAAACCAAATAGCAGAGGTAATAGTACATCTGCTATGGTATCAAAACAAAATTTACCAAAGAAGGTTTAATGTGATGACGAATTGTTTTTGAACGCATAAAGGTGGCCTGAACTTTCTAATTGCTAGGGCTTCTACAAACTTTAGGATACGCCCCAAACACGTTTTATAGATAGGTTTAAAAGATCTGTTAACATCAATTTTATAACCTGTCTCTATAATATGTTTCGCAATAGAAGAGCTAGATCTCCTGTTCTCACCGTTAATAGGTTCTGATGATTCCATTTGTTTATGGAACCATTTTGGAATATGCTCTGAAGCCCTTACTTGCAGAGATCGATGAGTCCTCCCTATGTATGTGTGTCCACACGTACATTCAAATTGGTAAATTCAGTGGGATGTGACGTCATTTTTCGCATGTTCGAAGGGCTTAGATAGATATAATGGCTTTACATTCTCTAATATTATGATATTACTTATGTTATTATTTGATAAAATAAATTGTATTTGTGTGATAAGCGTTCAGGGCTGAATGTAATTACAAAATGTTGTGAAATGCAAGACAATAATAGTGATTAGTCATTATAGATTCATAATTATTATAGATACAATATAATATTATAACAGATTCATATAATGTGGTAAAATGAAATTCAAGGTTGTAAAAGGTGTTAGATGAGTGACTTGCACAGAATATTCCGCATCAAAAACAGGAATTAGTAAGACTTTGACGAATAGTTCATCATGAAATAGCCAGTACGTGGAACGAAACAAATGGAGATATGTATTGAGAAAAGAGATAATACTACTGATAATAAGTAAGAATACTATAAACGGGAAATTCGATGGTTTTGAAAGGATATAAATTATAAAACGTTGTGACTGAAACTGTTAGAACGAAGGTGAAAGTAAACAAAAAATAATAAACAAAGCAAAACAATAGGAAACAAAAAGAAAAAGCACTCTTAGGGGAAGAAGCGATTTCAATTCACGTTTGGTTATGGTAGGAACAGCGCCTCAACTTATTCGTTTTGAATACAAAGTTCAGGTGTGGTTGATCTTTTTGTAACAGCTTCAGCTGTATGTAGAAGACGTAGTCAAACTATGTGTGAAAATGACTTTGGAATGTGGTATATTACCCAGAAGATTATGTAAGTGTCAATTCAGTGTCCTGCATCCACCAAGTGTGATAGAAGTGAGCTTTTTATACATTGGATTTCACGCTTACTGAACTAAGCTGGTTAATATTTTCGAATGCGTAGATGAACCTACTGAATCGTACACCCTATATAACTAGAACCACAGGGACAGTTGACACGGTACTTCAGTAAGGAGGAACTAAGATTAGGTAAAATGTCTTTCAATTTCAGGCTGTTGAAGAATAAGGAGAGATGAACAAAGTAGAAAGTCTTTATTTTCGCTCTGGTTAGACGCTGAGATAGAATGTCAGTAGAATATCCCTCTTGAGGTAGACACTCATAAAAATATCATTAAGGATTGGGCAATATAGGAATTTATTATTGATGAACCTAGGAATAAAACTAAGTAGCCCCTGTTTACTCCTAAATGCAGGGAATTGATGTTAGTTGGTTGCAAGAGGACGATTGGAAGTCCTGTACTCACGTTTCTTCCCTATTGGCATTCCTTAACACGTCAGACATGCAAATGGGAGGTAACTGATATCTCCGTAGAGATTCTAGTTGTTTCTGTCCGCTGTTGAATTTAGCTATATTACCGCTGAGCCATTTGGGGTTACGATTTATTCCCAACAAAACCTTTTGGGTCGATCATTGTAGACCATTTTGTTATTTGTAAGTTTTTAATCCAAGTCGACTTTATTATTTATTATTGATTTCTCCACGCTCCCTAGTGAAACATAGGGCTTCAAGCTAGAGGCTTGAAGTTTCTGTAGCAGTGTTTATTTTACAGGATGGGGTTGCTAGCCTCATGCTCAACCTTTCCTCTTTACCAGGATTATTTCTGGCTTAGCGAGGTAAAGGAGTGCGCCAGTGGCCGGGGATCGAACCCTGGACCATGTGTATGATCAGCCAGTGTTCTAACCACTGTGGCACCGATGCACATGTATAAATCAATAATGTGGATTATGAAAGAGTTGGAAATGCTTGTTAAAAATTACAGTTTACCAAATAACGTGGATTCAGAAACTTTATTTTCAGTAGTTTAATAATTTTGGTTGAAATCTTGATGAATTCTGAAAATATTTAATGCACAGGGAGGTAGTGAAGTCAATAGGTAAGGTAAAATTACGATTTATATAGACAGATATTACGATAAGATCAGAATAAGCAATATAATGATGATAAGAAAACAACACATCTGTTCATATTATCTGGTTTATAAGAGATAAGCTGAAGGGTCTTTACTCGTGTACATGTGTTCAGTGACTGCATTACAGTTCATTAAATTAAAGGAATAATGTAAAGAAGAAGGAAAAATTAAACTGATAAGTTCGTAATTTATGAGTTCTTCTGTATCGATGAAGAAATATCTTGACTGGGTTACATCTCCCGAAAAACAACTTGTTGCTTTTCAGGTTTCCAACTTTCAGTCTCCTTTTTAGTTACGGACTCGTAACTAACCGTTTGAAGCTAGAAAATTTAACTACTTGACAGGCATAAATTTTGAATACAGTAATTCCTGATACATCTTTACTGTGTAAAGTCTAAGGCTATTTCACTTTTGTGAATACTTTCATATTTTATTGTTATAAAACAAGTAGGAAGTTAATAATAGACACTGCATAGTAATATCAGGTAACATTCAATAGTTTTATTCTTTACTGAAAGTTAAAATGTATCACATTTTGATGGAAGTTGATAAGTAGAAAGAGTTGTGTTTTATCATTTATCAGTAAGTTGTTTTTGATGTAGTTGGGTTCTCTGAGCTGGATGGTTTTTGTACTTCAAATTAAAGTATGCGCTGAAGATGTTGCCTAGTAGGGTAATGAAAGCTTCACGAATAACTACATCAAAATCATCGATCTGAGCTACAGATCTTCTTCATCATTTCTAAATCAGTAAGTTGTGTTTGATATTCCAAGAGGATGCATAATTCCTCATAAATGTGAAGTGTTACGCCACAACCACTTACGTTTCCACATAGCTGGTAGTGTACGACACCTGTTGTGTAACAGTTAATTATACTACCTGGCTGTCCAAACCTCAATCGAGCAGGTGATCCAAACTCTTGGCCGATTGGTCAGAAAGGCACTACAAATCCATAATCAGATATGTAATCATTGCATTATGAGAACAAATACAGCTCACTGATAAGTGTCATTAAACATTAAAATTAAATATAGTAAATCCTTTTAATTCTACCAACCTACCTAGTGTAGACATCTACATGAACTGTTTTATCAGCAAATTATGTATATATATCTAAGTGATATTCACCATTTTCACTTAAAACATATATAAAGTAATATTTTTAAACAGAATTCAAGAGGCAATTTTGTTCCACCTAAGATTCTCCAATTGTGTGTGTTTAGGTCACATAAAAGCTTTTTGTAAAGAATGGCTTTAGCAGCCATACTGTGTGTAATTTAATAACATGGCACAAGTGTTTATATATGCATATATGTATTGCTGTGGAAAATGTATCTATTCGTGTTCTTTTAATTTAGATTATGCGAATCCACGTCATATGCTGTCAGTTGTAATCAACGACTGTGCTGTAAAGACTTTGAAAACTTACTTGCACAATATCAATTCAAGACAAACAATGACAATCAAACGCCTCAAGTTGAAGTGAGCCAACCAACAACTTGTAATACTTCAAACAAATCTTCTGCTAATAATCATAATCAGACTAAAAATAGACAAACTCGTTCATCACATCCATCCATTCGTCCTGTTCGTATGAAATCTTCAACGACAAATAAAAAATCTACAAATACACTGGTGAATAGCAGAAGTAATAATAATATGAATAATAATAATAATAGTAATAATTCCAAACCAGTTAAATTCTTTCCTATTCAGTCTATTCGACCGATAAAGCAAAGATTACCACAAGGATGTAATCAGATCGTCTATGCAAATAATCCCATAAAAACAATTCAGTTCCCATTATTACATAACTCCAAAAATATCCGTGTGCCTTATTCATCTTATTCAAATAATAACTTATACAGCAGTATTAATAGCAACAACAACAACAACAATGCTAGTCATTTCCTTATTAATAGGGAAAATAGTATGAATTCTGTTCTGAATATTTCAGCAATTAAATCTTCACTTCATCCTAATTTATCAACTATCCCATATTTTTCCAGATCTGTATTACCAGTGGTTAGTTACAAACCGTCATCATCATCATCATTATCATCACCTTCATCCTGCTCCTCCTCACTGCCAAAACGGATAGTCTTTCTCTCTTCCTCTTCACCTTCAATAACAATGTCTACTGTACCAGGTTCTGTGAAGAAATTTCAGTCCCTTACAACATTTAGATATAAAAATCGAACTAATAATAAAAATGATAGATACACTGATTATCGGACTATAATACCTTGTACTACTATCACTAATAATAATGATAATAATAATATGCGTTTCACATATTTACAGATGAATAATTCTTATAATCAAAAGGTAAGCAATACGTATTTAAGCATATTTTACCGTTGAGTCCGTTAACAAAAAACAAGCGAAGTTTTCTGTCATTATTTAGACAACAGGTACATTTGATGGGAAGATCAGATAGAATACGACATGTTACGTAATACGTATTAGATACAAATCATATTTTATCTGTCAATAAAGTGCCAGCAGTAAATATACCATTTATTAGATGACCAAAGACGATAGGCAGGTAGGCCTGGACAAAGTTTGTGTGACTTTCGGCACTTTTTAGCATGGCACACGTGCAACTTCGAAGGAATTGATACCCTCTCTCAGATTCGGAGCAGTGTCATTCATTACTGCAGGTAGGGAAGTGCCCATTCACCTATTCCGGGCCACGGCTGCCCATTTGTAGGACTGAAATAATTATAATGATTGGTCACTATACTGATCGTGTCAATAAGCACGAAACCTAGGGCTGAGGTTTCATGCTGATCGCTTCCAACCATGTAACACTCATTGAAAATGTGTACCCCGATGGTTATTTTAATGCATTACTGAATACAGTAAGAAGTGACCCTTAGAATTCATATTATTAAATATTCACGTTGTTAAAATTAAAACAAGGCATGTCAGCGCACAGTTTTATTTTCAACGGTGAATTTTTAGGTTAAATATGTGTTAAGTCTCTAAATGTGGCATTGGTAACAGCGACTATATCAACATTAATAGTGATGATAATAATGTCAGTGATAACAGACTTACGAAATCAGAAGTTACGTAATAATTAATATGGGGTGGATTTTAAATAAATATTATAAGTGTATGAAAGAAGTGAAGAATAAAGTGGAACGAGAAGTTTTAATGAGTTTGTTGGATTTACTTAAATCAAAAGAGAGGAAAATGCACAAAAACTTCTTGTTAATGTAAGGGCTAGGGCTACTCTCCTGAATTCTCATAGACTTGGCTATATTTAAAAGACGGGTTCGGATTCCATTCGAAAGATCCAATGGAGTACAATTGACAAGCATGAAACCACTGCTTCTGTCCACTTAGTGACCAATGTGAATTAAATCAGACAAGTTGAACCTCGAATAGATTTTGTTTGACCTTTCACGAAGTAAGAAGGAAAGTGATCCGTAATGTGTTTGTTAAGTTACCTAGTTTTTACTCTCTGTAGATTCCTCCATATGGAGGCAGCACAACTAGGTAGCTGATATTTCACTTGAGCAATGGTAACTTTTTGGTTGGAAAATGATAAGCAAAGGGTAACAGAAGTGTAAGCTCCTCAGATGGGTTTAGTCCGTCTCTGGTATAAATATTCATTGGGCAAATCTCCATTGAGTTGGAACTTCACTTTCTTGTATACATTCTTCATAAGTTTCCATAAAAATCTGTTAGGATAACATATTTCGATCATCGTATTGTCGATGTGTTCTTATTCGTTTTTCAAGTAATCATAGGTACAGATTCTCCTTGTTCTATTTGACCGACATTAGCCAAGTTGATTTTGTAGCTCATGAGTAAGAAACTGAAAAATGCATTTGTAATCCTAGAGACGTAGTTTTTTATAAGCGTTTCCATAGTGAACTACCTTCTTTTCTGCTCAGTTGAACCTCAAGAAAGTATGACTTGTTGTCATATTTCTCTTCACAATTGAAAATAATGATAGTTAGACATTCACAGATTTCGTCAAGACCTCGTTCTCGTCTTCTTTCTGATCAAGAATAACAAATGTATCATGAGTATTACCATAATGAGAATCTAATTTACTTGTTTCAACCGACCATTTTTAAGTTAAGCGAGGAAAACAATCTACTAAAACCGGACGTAATCGAGAACCTATAGTAAAATCATTTATCCGTATGTAACAGATCTGGTTCAGTATGAAATGTACATTCATGGTATAACTTAGATGTAGTTCCTTCAGAATAACAACTGGAATTATGAAGTCAATCTGCTTTTCCAGTATCTGTTGGCATATGGATTCCACAGTCTTCATCATTTCTACATTAGGGATACATGCAAGTATGACACTTTCCATTATATAACCATCATAAAGAGAATTAAACAAGCCAACCTGGATGAAAAACTTCGACCGGATCAGGCTGGATTGAGGAGGAACAAATCATGCATCGATCAAATCGCAACACTACTGATCATCACTGAACAGAGCTTGAATGGCAGTCCACTCTCTACCTTAACTTCATTGACTTTGAAAAGGTCCTCGACAGCGTCGATCGAGAGGTGATTTGGCACCTACTTCGCTGCTACGAGGTGCCGCCAACAATCATTGACCTCATCCAACAGTTGTAAGACAATGCTGCATGCCAAGTAATTCACAGCGAGAAACTCGCGGAATCCTTCGAAGTGAAGACGAGGGTAAGACAAGGCTGGCTGGCTGGTTGCCTACTATCTCCAATGATTTTCCTGATTGAAGTAGACTGGATAATGCGACAGAGAGGAAAAAGGCAAAAAATGGACCCACACAAAAAACCTGGAGGATCTGATCTTCACCGATGATATCCTTCTGATTTCCCACAAACTGGAAGATATGCAAGTGAAAAGCAACAAGTTGGTGGAAGAAGCATCCAGAGGAGATCGGAATTCAGGTGAACACAGAGAAGACAGGGGTGATGAAGATTACTGGCCAACACCAACAGCAACAGCAACAATAGACAATAATCAGTCAGCATAAATGGGATAAATCTGAGAGAAGCAACCTCCTTTACCTACCTGGAAAGCATCGTTTCAACTACAGGCGGGAGAAACTGAAGAGCATATCAAAGTGACGATCGGGAAAGAAAGGCAAGCTTTCATTACTCTCAAGTCTGTGTGGAGATCAACAGCATTCAGTGTGAAAAATAAGATGCATTTTTCAACTCCAATGTGAAGTCAGTGCTACTATACAGATCAGAGACTTGGCGAGTCACGAAAGGCACTTCGAATAAACTATAGACTTTCATCAACAGCTTTCTTCGCTCAGTTCTACTCAAGATCAGATGGCCGGCTAGGAGCGATCAGCAACAGGGATCTCTGGGAGCTAACCAACCCAGCAGGATCCGGTTGTGCAACAAATAGGCAGGAAGAAATGGAGGTGGACTGGCTTATATACTTTAAGTAGACCACACAGTATTAATGTTTAACTTTCAGTGGGTTTAAGAAAGTCATGGTTAGTCTCAGAGATTGTTATTCCTTCTTTTCAGTTTCTCAAGCATATTCATCGGCTGATTTTGTGATTTTTCATTTAAATACTTTTAGTTGCTAGGCTCTTGGAAGTTGGTTTTGTCGCTTAGATGTGAATTTATCTTGTCCACATACTTTCATTTATTCATAGGCACTATCCTCACTCCTTTATCTGGCTTAATAATTATAATGGTTTTATGCGTTCCTAACCTAATAAGTGCTTCTCGATGTTGTTTAATCAGTAAGCTTTTAGTAGGATAATTACTTTTTTATAGCGCTGATAGCTATTGACTAGTGTAGTTTTGAATCTGGAAACTTCAGTGTTTATTCTTCATGTTTCTTTAAGCATTTACCAAATTAGGTGTGTGTAATTTAATCGAAATACTAGGCAACCACTGGATTGTACCAAGTAATTAAATGAACACTGCTGACAGTACTGATTTAGCTGACAAGTGATGACCTGTGTAATATGTTGAATCACTGTTAATAATCCTTTCATACAATAATTGATTAGAAACTATTATAGCCTGGATGTCATAGGCTTAAAATGAACATAGATGTCCCACAGACGACATTAGTTGGGGTCGCGCTAAATCACGAACTATTGGAAGTTAAAATTCATGGGTTGGCCAATGAATCGGGTCCCAGTGGCTGAATGGTATACGAGCCAGCTTGCCTTGTAACCGGTAGGTCCTGGATTTGAACCCGATGGGTGCGTTCTGCCGATGATTTCTAAACTAGGACGAAACAGCTGGCTTTCCAATACTTCCTGGTTTTCAATGGTTCTCTAACTGATATCAATCCGTGATCAGCTTGTAAAAACAAATCTTATCCTTACAAACGAATCATAGAAAAATAATTATACAGTTCAAAAGGTCATATAAAAAACAGATTTTTCATTTCAAGATTGTATATGTTTAATTACAAAACGAAAAGAGTGATATACGCACATTTTTTTGGCTAAATAAATTGTGGACGTTTCATGTTCTTCTATTCATCATTTTATGATACAGGTGTTAATTCCTGAAACCAACCAATCATTGAATACATTTGAAACAAATGGAAAAAGCATGAATAATGGTCAGTGTAAACCTGGTGATAATTTATCAGTCTTAACAGATAACTCATCTTCCCCATCTCACTCAGGATATTCTCATGATTCAAGTACTTCCAATTGTGTTAGCCCAAATGAATTCAATCTTACTGACTTTGATGTAAATATGCAAATGGAAGCAACTGTCAGTGAATTATTGGCATCAGTCCCATCCCCATGTAAATCAGCTTTTGAAGAGGATAAAATTATGCAGATAGATTCAAATTCTAGTTTATATGACTCTGATGTTATTCAGTATGATGAATCAAGTTTTCCTCCACTGACGGATTCAAATTTAGATGGCGAAGATTTCACTGGATTTCAATCGGATTTCATTAATGATTCGATTATTTTGAGTGGCTGAGATAAATGTAAGTTCTAAGCAGAGGAAGGAGTTTATATAATCATCTTTTAATGGGAGGTCATATATCTGAGGCATACGGACCAGTAGTTCTTAACTTCTTTAATAATTAGCTCAGATTTTTTATGTTTGACAGCTGACAGTACTACCCAGTAGGTGTGAGTCATTGACCTAAGTAACTGGGTTCATGATTTAGTTTGTATTAAGATACACTATTTAAATGTATTTTTCCGTATTTGACTAAAAAACACTGAGTTACAGTGGTAATGTAGAAGTAACTCTGGCTTTTGAATTGGAATTTAAGCTTTTTCCTTATCATATAACAAGCTAATATTGATCAGTATAAATTAGTATATGAATTTAATTTAAATTGTCTGTTATTTTGTTTAAGTCAATTTTTGTTTTTCTCACTGTACAAAATGTGGCTGTCTTAGCCTAAGTCTTCTAATAGATAACGAAAGGCATTGGGTTTGAGTCTCTGTTAGGACACCATCAATCGATGGAGATTGCAGGTACATCCACCTGACTATCCCTAAATACGAGGAAATGCGCATCCTAGATTCCATCGCTAGTCACCACCCACCAAATAAGTAGTCTGTTGTTTAATCTTAGTGGTTAACTGTAAATGCCCAACGCCCATCTAGGTGGGTCTGGTAATTCCAGAAAGTACTACTATTTCTTCTGTAGTTGAAATGGAGAAACAGTGGTAAGGAATACTTGTTAAAAATAAAGATTGATATAGTTGAGTATTTCTTTAGACGGTAATGTTATTGTGACATATTTTAGGCACAAGTCTCACAATGAACACCAAAAGACCACCATGATTATTATTATTATTGTTCCTTTGGGTTCCTAGTGGAACATGGGGTTTCAACTGCACGTCTCTACTTGCTTCTGTCTTCCTTCTGCTGTACTTTTCACCTGCATCCATGTTAGTCCATACTGTTTCAACTCCTCTTCACACGATCTCCTCCATGTCATCCTTGCACTGACGTCCCACTCGCCGCTTCCCTTTCGGCCTAGTTCCACTCGAGCAATAGCCTGACGCGCGAGCGATGTCACCCAGCGGCGGTCTCCTCAGCGAGTGTCCAATCCATCTCCCTCCACTTTCTCCTGCATATTTGTTGGTTGGCGATTGGTTCTTCTTTTGTTTCTTCTCAGCCATAGTTTCTTCTTGTTGGTGATTCTTTCCTCCACGGCCATCTGATCTTCAGTATAGGTCCAGAGAAGACAGTTGTTGGTTGATATAGGTCTGCAACAGGCTGCTGGAAATATTCTTTGTGATCCGCCCGCCAAGTTTCTCATCCGTATAGAAGAACTAACTGACTTGACGTTTGTATTGAAAATCCGACCGAATCTTGTTGTTGATTCTGGCTGAGTTACGAAGATTTCCAGATTGGTTTCAGTTGGTTGATGAATGTGTTTCTCGCCTACTTTCCCGATTCTCGCTCGATTTAACATCCTCGTTCGTTCCTCTTGTAGTTGAGACAATGCTCCTTAGATGATAAGTGAATGAAGTGACCTCTTTCAAACCCCTCCCGTTGATGGTGATTGACGCTGGATGTTGCTGCTGTTGTCGTTGTTGGTTGGTTATTTTCATAACCTCCGTCTTGTCTTTGCTGCTTCTTCGAACAATTTGTCGGTTTTCGCTTGTAAGTCTTCGATTTTATGTGACATCAAACATAAATCATCCACGCGCGAAATCCAGGTCTTCTAGGTTCTTCACGTCGGTCCAGGATATCCCTATCTTCTCGTTTCCCACTCACTGTCTGACGCATAATCCAGTCCACGACAATTAGGAATATCATTGGTGATAATAAGCACCCCTGTCTGACTCCTGTATACACTTCGAACGCCTCGCTGAGATTTCCGTTGTGGATCACTTGACATGTGCCACCATAAATGTGAATGCAATTATCAATTCCAGGATAGCCCACATCGTTTTATTAACCTCCACTCCATAAAATATTACAAATACTATAGCCTAAAATTGTAAATTTCTCGGACCATAGTACTACTGATTGAAACAAGTAGTTGGAAACCAATGAAGCCAACCACTGTTGCTTGCCAGATAGATTAAAATCGTTCTAACAAACAGTTTCAAATTTGCTTATATCACACATATCATGTTGTACGCTTACCTTACCTTCTTCGTAATATGTACAGTGTCAAACAGGATATACATATATGCACAGATATTATTATTATTGTATCCTTTAGTTCCTAGAGGAACATAGGGCTTCAGCTGCGCACCTTCATTGCCTTCTGTTTTCTGCCAACTTTTTCACCCCTCTCCAGGTCTGTCCACATGCTTTCATCTCCTCATCGCATGACCTCCTCCAAGTCACCCTCCCACTGACGACCAACTCGCCGCTTCCCTTTCGGGTTACACTCGAGCAATGGCTTGTCTAGTGATGTCACTTGATAGCTCGTTTCCTCAGAGTATAGCCAGCCAATCCATCTCCATTTCCTCCTGCCTATTTGTTTCACAATCGGTTCCTGCTGGGTTGGTTCGCTCATCGCCAGAGATCCCTGTTGCTGATCTTTTCTGTCCAGCCATCTGTTCTTGAGTATTGAGCGAAGAAAACTGTTAATAAAGGTCTTTAGTTTGTTGGAGATGCTCTTTACTACGCGCTGGCCAAGTCTCTGATCCGTTTAGTAAGTAGCACTGACTGACTTCACATTGGAGTTGAAAATCCGGATCTTATTTTTGATGCTGAGCGCTGTTGACTTCCACACAGATTTGAGGGTAATGAAAGCTTGTCTTGCCTTTCCGATTCTGGCTTTGAAATCCTCGTCAGTTCGCCTGTAGTTGACACGATGCTTCCCAGGTAGGTGGGTAGGTAAAGGAGGTTGTTTCTTTCAGGTTGTTCCCATTTATGCTGGCTGATTGTTGCCTGTTGTTGTTGCTGTTGCTGCTGGCCAGGAACCTTCATCACCTCTGTTTTATCTATGTTCACCTGTAGTCCTATCTTCTCTGGATGCTTCTTCTGCCAACTTGTTGCTTTTCACTTGCACAGATATCACGGCCTAAATATTTTAGAATTCCGAAGAAAGTCTTTGTGAAATTTCACAGATGTTGGACTTTACTTCCCTCCAGTGTTTTTTCTACTCAGTTTGTTTATTTTTACAGTGATTAATTTGAAAAGTGAATAATATTCATAATTCGGCTCTATTGTTAAGCATATTATAACATTCATAAAAAAATCAAACAATTTTACCTTGTTTATCTTTTTTGAAAACGAAAATCATTCAAAAGAAAATTTCATTTCATAACAATTCAGTAAGCACAGTTAAGTCAAAACAAACAAATTAATTAAATTTCCCAGTAATTTGCATTGTTTACTACTTATATACATCTAAATAGATGACTACTTTTGGGTTAATAAATTTGTTTTGAGTGTTCAATTTATTAACTGAGTAAACTCGAGTTGTATTAAACATTCTTTGTTCTATAGAGATGCAAAACTTTGTCTCTTCACTAACTTAATCGTAAATAGTTTTGTTTCCACTTCAGTTTTCCGGTTAACTACAAACTCGAATCACCCACTGTAAACGATGGGATTTGAAGAATTGTTTACTTTTTCAAGTTTTGGGTTTGTTCAGATTTACTTGATTTCAGCGTGAATTTTGTGACAACTTGCCAACATTTAGGGAATGTTTAAGAACCAAGAGCATGGGATAACCTTTTATTCCCAACCTCTTAGAACTGCACACTCATAATTTCATCAAAACGTGAACTCAAACTCTTCAGGTTATGAAGAAATCACTTTTCAGACTATGGCTAAAATTCAGATGTCTGTAAGATACTGTTTGTGCTATTGATACGTTACCAGCCTTAATAAACGAATTATTATTATCCCTTGGGTTCTGAATGGAACATAGGGCTTCAGCAACACATCTCCCCTTCATGTGGCTGACCCCACGACTGTCCATTATCTGTCATCTCATTCTCACATGATCTCCACCATGTCATTTTCGCACCCACCACCCACTCGTCGCTTTCCACTTGGATTACAGTTGAGCAGTGGCCTGATACGTGATTTCATTGGAAGGCCTCCTCAATGTATGTCCATTCCCCCCATCTCCATTTTCTCCTATATATTTGTTGAGCAATCGGCTCTTGGTTGGTGGTTTGTTCCTGGCCAAAGTTTCTTGGTCACTAATTCTTACTGGCCAGCCGGCAGGCTATTTGATCTTCAGTATGGAGCCAGTGAAGTTGGTAGCTGTTGGTGAAAGTCGACAACTTCATGGAAATCCTTTTTGTGACACGCAGTGCAAGTTTCTGACTTCTGAAATCCGAATCTTATTTATTTATGCTGTGGAGTGTAGAAGATTTCCAAACAGGTTTCGGGTTGATGAAGACATATCTTGCCTTTCCAATTCTCACTGGCTGGCTTTCACATCTTCATCCGTTCCGACTGCCTGTGGTTGAAACAATGCTTCGTAGATAAGTGATGGAAGTGACCTCTTCCAAGCTTCTCCCATTGGTGGTGATTGGTGCTGGTTGTTGTTGTTGTTCCTGTTGGCTGGTTGGTTGGTTGGTTATCTTCATCACTGAGTCTTCTCTGTGTTCACCTGGAATCTTGTCTTCGTCGCCTGCCATTCCAACCAGTTTTTAAGGTTTCCACCTGTAAATCTTCGAGTTTGTGTAGAACATAAATCATCTCTGAAACCAAGATCTCCTAGAGTCTTCTTATAATGTGGTGAGAGCAGGCTGCTAGCCGATTGGTTGACACTAAGCTACGTTAATATGGGCCGTGAGAAAATATGAACAAGGCTGAGTCAACAACCAATCACAGCAAAGTTAACGTGGCAAAATATGATTCGCAGATAGAGAACTCTATTTGTCAAGGAATCCCGAAGCAACCAATCAGAAGCCTGCGTTTGTCTACCTAACTTCTGATAAACAACCAATCAGATGACTGCGCTTGTCTATAATAATGTAGTTGAAATATGTATAAATACGTGTTGATTTTCATAATAAAACGATCTGTTGCCTGGCCCTTGTCTTCTGTTGTTACAATAACTCTGACGTATCCCGATCTCTTCACTCCCAGTGCACAGTCTGACGCATATTCCAGTCCATCACGATTAAGAATACCATCGTGATAATAGGCAGCCTTGTCTTACTCCTGTATTCACTTCAAAGGCTTTGATGGTTTTCTGTAATATTTCTAATTACCCGACTTCTGGGTACTGATAGCAAAATACAAATAAAAAAGGCACAGTTATTTAGAAGTGTGCTCGAATGAGTGATATATTTAAACAAAATAAAACATTATGGTTATTTAGGAAGAAGATTTTTTACCCACATGGCTAATACAGCTGAGCTGCAAACTCTAAGGGTGTACGTATTACCAACACAAAGGAGGAGAGCAAAATGGCGTCCCAACCTGATCGGATGCGTAAACACTTCAAACACCTATAGCATCCCCATTAAGGCTAGAAGTTTATTTAGCTAATATGAAGTTGATTCAATTTGATCTATTCATTTTATGCCAGGAAAGGAGCACTTCAGTCCTATGAATTATGGTTTCCGTGAATTCATGATATATACCTCCATCGCTAGCCAATATCATCGCTAAGTACCCAACTTGGTAGACCCCACCGGTTATGACTTCAATTTCTCGTAGGTTTTCTAATCGATTTCAGTTAACAACGAAAACGATCTCTAAAAAATTATATAATTTGACATAGAAATGTATGTAGTTGTTAATTATACACGTAAATGAAGAGTCAGTTTTGCGAGAGATTAGAAAAAAAAATATCTTTATCACTGTCAAACAAGGCGAAAGCATTTTAAATGAAGCAACTGACTAAACGTAAAATATATCAAAAAAATACAGGATTTTCTTTCTGTGTTATGTGTATCCTGTGAAAAGATGAAATTTTAACACTGATTAAGATATGAAAATATTTTGGTAAGATAGAAAAAATAATTTCAATTCAGTACATTGTACTGGTGTGAATACATCTCATTATATATTACACCTTATTATCTTTCAATAGTTGGTTTGTAAGGATTAGATTTATTTTTACTAGTTGATCACGGATTGATATCAGTTAGAGAACCATTGAAAATCAGCGAGTACTGACAGCTAACTGTTTCCTCCTAGTTTGGGAATCATCGGCAGTACGTACCCACTGGGATTCGAATCCACGACCTTCCGGTTACAAGGCAAGCTGGCTCGTATACCATTCAGCCACTGGGACCCGATTCAATGGCCAACCGATTCGAGATTTAGAGCGATTACCAACCAATGTCATCTGTGGGATATCCATCCCCACATTGGCTTGTTGGACTTCATTGGTCATGACTTCTCACTAGAACTCAGAGATTTCTGTCCTGTAGCAAGTCACTAGCGAGAATCAGATTAATTTTCAATAGTTGGTTTGTAAGGATAGATTTGTTTTTACGAGTTGATCACGGATTTGATTGATGGTATACGAGCTTACTTTGTAACCAGAAGGTGCTGGGTTCGAACCTTAATATCTGTTTTAGCACTTTCAGCTTCAGGGTATGCACATATAACGGGTGTTTATCAAGGATCAGAGAAGCGTGTTTTCTGTTATCCATCTTAAATAAAACTTGCCTTTCAGAAAAAACAAATGTTATCTTATTTGAGAGTTTTGAAACAATTGATTTAAGAACTTTCCTTTTTCATACAATTATTGTGTTTTCCTTGATAAACTTGAACAAATCAAAAAGATTAAACCGAGCATGATAACTTGAATAGAGGTGTAAAATGATGAATAGCACGTAAGGGTTAATAAATAATTTAGATGAACAGAAGTCAAAAACTGTTCTGGTTAAGAATACAGATAAATATAAAATTAAGGGTAGAAAATCACCTTACAAAAACAAAATATTATTAAAATAACAAAATTAAAGTAACATTAAGTATATTCTCCTTGATAGAGTAAGATTAATAACGATTGTTTTTTTGGAAGTATAAATAATACCAGCAACTTTATTCTGGACAAAATGTTTACACAGTACACAGAATTCCCAGTGAAATTTAATGCATAATATTGTCTTTTAGTCGAGAATCTTCACGTGAAATAAATAAACCACACAGCACAACAGGTGGCTCAATGTCATTCGATCTGCAGCATAAACCAAAAATCCCTTTTGATACTTTTCCTTTGTCTCCCGAGAGAAATGCTCAGCAGTAGCACTTTGAAAGACGTTGAATCAGTTGTGTTCCCTAAGCTGGTTGACTTAATAGCGAAGCTTTCATCGTCCCTCTAGACAATATCTTCAGCTAATGTTTTAGTTTAAAATGCATTAATTTCATTTCTCCATGAATGATATAGTTGTATCTTCTGACGACCACTGTCGTGACTGTTTGTTGATTTACGTCTCTACAGATCATTTTTATTCACTTGGAATTCGAACTTTCCTGTTCCTTTCCTTTATTAGCTGGTAAATTTGGTCTATAGTAATGTGTTTATGAATCGCTGGTTGATTCACTTGAGTACCAGGCTTCCAGGAATTCCGTAACTGCAGTTTTGGTGTTTCCTCTATTTAAAAAATTCTACATTATCCCAATCAAATTGGTGTCCATAATTATTCACATGCATTGATACGAAAGAATATATATCATATCTTTTTACAGTTAATTTGTGTTGTTGCGTCCAACTTCGAAGAGAGAGGACACCTACTTTGACGGATCTAGTGCTTGTTTTATAAATGGTATTAATTTTATGTTCTTTTCTTGTTGCATCTTTTGCTTTGCACAATATCAAGTAAAGTGAGTGTGCTAACTTGTGTGCTATTTCAAAACGGTCTTAACATTCTAGCTGTTATTTCGGAGATATTTTTTATGTATGGTAGGATGATATATTTTGTGTTTTTTTCTGTTGACTTGTTGTTGGTTTTATGACTTGAGTTTAAACACTTTTTGATGACAATTAAGACAGAAAAATAGAAAATATACCTGAGCACATTTTACCACGCAAGGATATCGTATACTGGTAGTCACTTCAGCAATAGGTAGCAAAGCTGGAACTGTTTACAAGCCTTAATGAACCAATTTCATAGCTACTATTTAAAAAGAGGCAAGCAATCGCACTACTAAGGTCTTTTCCACAATTTACAAACATACACATAGTGTAATACTAACAAGTATATTTTGGCCTGGACACTAATCAACCACCATGTCAACAATTCACAGTGCACCGTGATGGCGAGCCACCTAGCCTGGTGGCCACATTGCAAACTTGACTGATAGAATTCAGTCGGCATCAAGGATATGACTAGACACACACACACATTACACTAGTTACTGACTACTGTCCAATCAAAAATATCCAATACAATCCCGCAGGAGGTCAATCGCGAGCCTGAATAGCTCAATGGCAACGTCTCTGACTACAGCACCAGACGGTGACACCGGTTCGAATTTCAGAAGAGATATGGGTTCCTTCAAGGTTGCAGATACGCCTTACTGATTGATGGGTGCCAGGTAGCATGAAACCTGGCTAGGTCAAGCAAGGCTTCCTGTGCCGCTGATTGCCTCCAGCCATCTAATACTAACTAACAAGTACTTATGTGTGAAACAGTATTTTATCTTATTCTAACTTCATAGATTTCATTGTTTTGTTGTTGTTGTTGTATGTTTTGCTTTTTTAGAAATTAAATATTGTCAAGTAAAAGGGAATAGAAAATCAACGTTGAATAGGGGACAAATCAAGGCATTCAGCATATCTGACTTCTTTTACTGTATTTCTTTCCGCCGACCAAATAGATCTTTCATATATGTATACATATGTAAGTGTATTGCACACACTTTCTTATCTCCTGCTTCTTTCTGCCTTCTCCTTATAAAAACAAAATGAGCAATACATTCAAAATAATTATGATATATTATTATGTATCCATAATAATAGTTATTAACAATAATAATAATAATACCTTGATAATTATTTAACTTGTTTATAGTAATTTATTTTATAACTCAATGAGATTCAATAAATATTTACAAGTATTGATGCGATAATATGCATATATTTTTACCTACCAACTGACTTTATCCACCTATCCGTTTTATTTTTCATCTTTCATCCTTCACTTGTAACACCCTCAAAGCTACCTACCTAGGCTCCCTTTTCCTGCCAACTTCAGCTTACTAGATCGTGCTCACACTGTTTATACTCTAAAGCAAAACAATCTATGTATATTATACAAGTAAGCAAGTGTGTATTGAATGAATTAATGTGAGTACTGTTTTATATTGTTGTATACGAAAATTAAACAAAAACTTGAACCAAATTGAAATATAATAAACAACAATAACAAAAAGTGATTCGGATTTGTTTTCTGATTTGTTTACTCCCCGCCCACCCCCCACCCCTTATTTCATGATTTCTTATGATTTATTTGTAGATAGGAATTTAGTAAAGGTTGGATAGTCAGTAAACAAATGATACTGTTTTCAGCAGTTCACAGAGAAAAATGAATGTGTTTTGCATACATCCTTGCGATCACAGTGAGTTGATGCGAAAAAAGGGCGAAACAGAAACATTTCCAGACTGATCATGAAATGACTTCAGTTATAGAATTAATGAAAACCAAAGAGTACTTGATGGCCATTTCGTCCTAGGTTGGGACTATTCACTAGTAGGCAATCATGATCGCCACCAGAGATTGAACCCAGGACCTCCAGGTAATAAAGTCAGGCCGTCATCTGATTCCACCTCACAGGTTGAATGACATGCATGCTCACCCTGGTGCGAGCATGAGTGCATACTACTGAAGAATGCCGAACAAGGACTAAAAAGATCTAAAACAATTAGTCCTTTTTATAAATTTTGATAGTGTTATTAGAAGACGGAAATTATCTGAAAAATGTGATGTGTTTGTGTTATGTACTAGTTTTCCCCGTCGCCAAATTGTTATGTTCTAGTTTCCCCGTCGCCAAATTGTTATGTACTCGTCGCTAAATTATTGTTATGGACTGGTCGAGAAATTAATAGTCCTGACGCGAGAAGGCGGAAATCAGAAGACCACTAGGTTTGCGATGATACTTCTATTGTCCAAACACAAGGAGACGAAAATAAATGGTCTCACACCAAAGTGGTAAGTAAGTAAAGTAGTTGTAAAGTAAAGTAGTTCACACAAATTGTGAATGCGAATATATATAATAATTCAGACAAAGCGTGGGAAAAATCATTAGACAGTCTTAACATGAATGGCTAATTATAATGGAGTGTCGATCCAATTATACATAGCGAATATAGCAGACATGCCAACAAACATATATGGATATATGTCACCAAGCAACGGACTGTCAACAAACACTCATTTATATATAATATAATATGGAATATACATTGTTAAAGGAGACAGGTTCATACAAGTGAAGTGGTCACAGACTAACCGAGCAAACAGAAAGAGAGACCAACATGCACACACACACATAAATATATATATGTGGATACATATCAGTTTGCGCTATACATTTCGAACAAACTGATCCCTCACACATTTACTTGTCAAGTCAACATATATGGAAAAGTCAAATTAAACAAAATGACAAAAAAGAATTAAGAATAATTAACACAACTTTTAGTAATCTAATCAAATAAGGACTACCAAGGTAGGTTAACAGTAATAACAAACTGTTTTTGAATACACAAGGGGGGGCTTAAGTTAATGAATAGCTATAGCCTCAGCGTATTTCAGTAAGCGCCCTTGACCGTTTTTATAGATGCCCTTGAAGGCTGAGTTCACATCAGCCCTATGGTTCATCTTGATTAGACGTTTAGCTATAGACGAAGTTGGTAGTCTGACACCTGCATCTATTGGCTTTACACAATTCATTTGTTTTTCTAACCAATTTGGGATATGCTCTCCCACCCACTCTCACACACAAAGCACGACTACTCCTCCCTATGTATGTGTGTCCACACACACACACACGAAAATTGGTAAATTGTGTGGGTTGTGACGTAAGCACTTGTGCACGTTTGAGGTTTGCAGTGAAGTAAGTATATTTTTAGCTTTTTCCACAATTACAAGCTGGGCTGCATAGTAGGTTCTATGGATGATCGAATTCAACCTTTGTCTCAAAATCCTACTGTTTATTTCCCCGTTGTATGGTAATTTGATGAAAGCCTTTTTCTTAGGGGCGGTATAAAGATCTCAGATACTCCGTGGTTTTCGGTGGTTATCTAACTGAAGTTAGTTCGTGATTAAACTTGAAATCAATCAAATCCCTTCAAACCAACATTTGAAAAATATTTTTGAGCTCAATTTATCGCAGTCAATCGCACTGTTTACTTATTGGTCAAGAAGTTGTACTATTTCAAGTCATTTTTCATACAGCCTTCAGTATCAGACTCGCAACCAGCAACTGCTTAATTATTTAAAGATGAATATTTTCATACGCACTTCTAAAGTTTAACTGTAGTTGACAGTTATTTCAGTATAGTTCCAGATTTAGCGAAGGGTTGGAAAACCAAAATAGACTTTCGTTAGTTTGAAATTAATGTGGAAATATGCTATACCCAGTATAAGGAGCAAGATTCTGATATTCAACACTAATATCAAGCCAGTTTTGCTATATGCTTCGAAGACTTGGCGCGACACCAAAAGTATTTCCGACAGCATGTATCAAATATCCATATCGTAGAGACTCTGAACCTATCTCAGAATAATATGCACTGTAACCGACGTAGAACAACAAAAAATGGTTGGATAATACAATTGTTTATCCTTCAACCAACAACGAAACAGATTTACAATTGTTACTCAGTACCAAGGTCTGTAAGTAAAGGTTAATATAATGTTCAACAATGCTTCTGATGGCATTTCTCCGAACTTCTACCAATCAGTATACGATTAAGCAATGATAGCCTTCTTGTCTCCCGCCAATATGGAAGCTAGTACGAACAAAATGTTATGTACCGGTCGAGAATTTAATAGTCCTGACGCAAGAAAGACGGAAATCAGAAGACCACTAGGTTTGCGATGATACTTCTATTTTCCAAACCACAAGGAGAATCAATGTCACACAAGAGTGTGAGAGCAAAATATATGCATGTCCGAACAAGTGTGTGAGCGAATATTCAAAATGAACAAATCAATAGACAGTCTTAACATGATTGGCTAATTATAATGGAATATCGATCCATGTATACATAGCAAAATATAACCGACTGTCAAACAAACACACATATTATATGGATACATATCACCAAGAACACACTGTCAAAAAACACACATATTATATGGGTACATATCACCTCCCCTTTTGAGAAGATTGATGATTAGAAGCATGTTTTCTTGGGATTTATCTGGAACCGTTGAGCTTGTTGTTGACGTCTGTCGCTTCGTCTGCCTGTTGATTTTGCGGCTTCGGCTTCGTCCGGAATTGTCTGACATTTTATGCTTCTTGACTGCATTGAATAGCGAATTTAGTGGGACATCAGCCAGATGCAAACGATCGAACCAATCAAGCCCCAAAAGATTTAAATCACTCTTGGTGACGTAGCAAATTCCTGTGAATTCGGTATTGCGGAAGGAAACAAAACATTTGAGTTCACCAATTAGTTTGAGCCGCCCACCACAGGCGCTGACAGCAGTCTGAGAAGTATTTGCGATTGGTGGTCTGCCCATATAATTCCAAAGTTTCTCTGATATAACAGTAATATCAAAGGCGGTATCTAGCTGCAGACGTGTATCATGACCATTCATCTGAAGATCAAGATATTTCCGCATACCTGGTGTTGTGACTTGACGGGTTGCGACTAGAATCATTGACTTTTTTGGGGATTTAGGACCAACAGTTTGTCGAGCTTTCGCTGTATTTTGATATCCGAGTTTGCGTGGCTGGTAAAATCCATTTTTATGACCAATGATTTTGCACTTGCTGCAACGATGATTTTTGTACGGACAAGACTTTACAAAGTGCCACGCGCCACAGTGCCAGCATGGTGATGGTGGGGTCTTCTTTGCAGTATTTTGTGAAGTTGGACGAGTATGTGTAGATTTACGCGGAACATTAGGAGAAGGTGGGTCAGGAGTGGATGATGAGAGATTTTTGCTCTTTCGTAATGCACGAATATCAGAGCTTCTCGAAGGTGTTGATTCGACCAGGTGTGTGTCTTTCTGTAAATTAATCAGACGTTGATATTTATCAGCTATGTCATGTAGAGTTAACTTGGGATTTTGTTCTAGCTGATTGAGCAGTCGAGTTCGGATATCTGTGAAACGAGGAGATTGAAGACTGCATATGAGAATCAAGGCTTTGAATTGATCATCTGTTAAGGACCTGAGTCGAAATCTCTCACATTCTCGGTTGACTGTGCCAACGTGAGTAAGAAAATCATCATTTTCATTCATTGTCAGCTTGAGGAAACGATAACGTATGCTGAATAATGAGGAGTGGTCTCCAAAATGTACACGCAGCAGCTTTATTGTATCATCGAAACACTTGTCACGAGGTTTTTGCGGTAAAATTAGGTTGCAGTACCTCTCATATTCTGCGGGACCCAATTTACGTAATAACACTCGCACCTTCCAAGCATCGTCTTGTGAGGCGAGATCAACTGTGAATAAATCCTCATATCGTTGATACCATGTGTCAAAAGTGGCATTCGCATCTGGATTATAATTGAACTGTGAAATACTATTCACAATGCCGTCGACAGATGGTAGCATGGTATGATTCGGATTGCTTGAAGGTGAAGTTGGACCAGTCTGTTTGTTAATGAACATTTCCATTAATTTCATTTATCGTTCAAATAGTAATTCCAATTTAGAAGGATCCATCCCATCCCCGTCGCCAAATTATTGTTATGTACTGGTCGAGAATTTAATAGTCCTGACGCAAGAAAGACGGAAATCAGAAGACCACTAGGTTTGCGATGATACTTCTATTTTCCAAACCACAAGGAGAATCAATGTCACACAAGAGTGTGAGAGCAAAATATATGCATGTCCGAACAAGTGTGTGAGCGAATATTCAAAATGAACAAATCAATAGACAGTCTTAACATGATTGGCTAATTATAATGGAATATCGATCCATGTATACATAGCAAAATATAACCGACTGTCAAACAAACACACATATTATATGGATACATATCACCAAGAACACACTGTCAAAAAACACACATATTATATGGGTACATATCACCTCCCCTTTTGAGAAGATTGATGATTAGAAGCATGTTTTCTTGGGATTTATCTGGAACCGTTGAGCTTGTTGTTGACGTCTGTCGCTTCGTCTGCCTGTTGATTTTGCGGCTTCGGCTTCGTCCGGAATTGTCTGACATTTTATGCTTCTTGACTGCATTGAATAGCGAATTTAGTGGGACATCAGCCAGATGCAAACGATCGAACCAATCAAGCCCCAAAAGATTTAAATCACTCTTGGTGACGTAGCAAATTCCTGTGAATTCGGTATTGCGGAAGGAAACAAAACATTTGAGTTCACCAATTAGTTTGAGCCGCCCACCACAGGCGCTGACAGCAGTCTGAGAAGTATTTGCGATTGGTGGTCTGCCCATATAATTCCAAAGTTTCTCTGATATAACAGTAATATCAAAGGCGGTATCTAGCTGCAGACGTGTATCATGACCATTCATCTGAAGATCAAGATATTTCCGCATACCTGGTGTTGTGACTTGACGGGTTGCGACTAGAATCATTGACTTTTTTGGGGATTTAGGACCAACAGTTTGTCGAGCTTTCGCTGTATTTTGATATCCGAGTTTGCGTGGCTGGTAAAATCCATTTTTATGACCAATGATTTTGCACTTGCTGCAACGATGATTTTTGTACGGACAAGACTTTACAAAGTGCCACGCGCCACAGTGCCAGCATGGTGATGGTGGGGTCTTCTTTGCAGTATTTTGTGAAGTTGGACGAGTATGTGTAGATTTACGCGGAACATTAGGAGAAGGTGGGTCAGGAGTGGATGATGAGAGATTTTTGCTCTTTCGTAATGCACGAATATCAGAGCTTCTCGAAGGTGTTGATTCGACCAGGTGTGTGTCTTTCTGTAAATTAATCAGACGTTGATATTTATCAGCTATGTCATGTAGAGTTAACTTGGGATTTTGTTCTAGCTGATTGAGCAGTCGAGTTCGGATATCTGTGAAACGAGGAGATTGAAGACTGCATATGAGAATCAAGGCTTTGAATTGATCATCTGTTAAGGACCTGAGTCGAAATCTCTCACATTCTCGGTTGACTGTGCCAACGTGAGTAAGAAAATCATCATTTTCATTCATTGTCAGCTTGAGGAAACGATAACGTATGCTGAATAATGAGGAGTGGTCTCCAAAATGTACACGCAGCAGCTTTATTGTATCATCGAAACACTTGTCACGAGGTTTTTGCGGTAAAATTAGGTTGCAGTACCTCTCATATTCTGCGGGACCCAATTTACGTAATAACACTCGCACCTTCCAAGCATCGTCTTGTGAGGCGAGATCAACTGTGAATAAATCCTCATATCGTTGATACCATGTGTCAAAAGTGGCATTCGCATCTGGATTATAATTGAACTGTGAAATACTATTCACAATGCCGTCGACAGATGGTAGCATGGTATGATTCGGATTGCTTGAAGGTGAAGTTGGACCAGTCTGTTTGTTAATGAACATTTCCATTAATTTCATTTATCGTTCAAATAGTAATTCCAATTTAGAAGGATCCATACCCATCCCCGTCGCCAAATTATTGTTATGTACTGGTCGAGAATTTAATAGTCCTGACGCAAGAAAGACGGAAATCAGAAGACCACTAGGTTTGCGATGATACTTCTATTTTCCAAACCACAAGGAGAATCAATGTCACACAAGAGTGTGAGAGCAAAAATATGCATGTCCGAACAAGTGTGTGAGCGAATATTCAAAATGAACAAATCAATAGACAGTCTTAACATGATTGGCTAATTATAATGGAATATCGATCCATGTATACATAGCAAAATATAACCGACTGTCAAACAAACACACATATTATATGGATACATATCACCAAGAACACACTGTCAAACAAAACACACATATTATATGGGTATATATCACAAAACGAACGTTTCAGTGTTCAAAAGCATTAACAGCATGCTTCAGAATTTTTCAACAGCCCTTTTCACTCCATACGGGAAAACTGACTGTTAGAAAGGAAAATCATCAAAAAGCTGTGGAAATGAACCATCTGAAAACTTATCGCTCAAACAATATATTGATATAATTGCAGACTGATTGGACAAACTCTGAGAAGATTGATGGGTGAAATCACACGCTACGCCCTCGAGTGTAACACGAATGGATAAAGACAATATGAGTATCCAAATGTGGCATGGAGTAAATCGTGGGAGAAGGAGAGAGTGGTAAAACCAGCTAAATATAGCTGCAGAGAACACGGAAAATAAAGATGTAATGTTGAAGCCCTATTGCCCATTCGGAAACAAAGGGAACGATATTACATAATAATAATAATAATGACCTTATGGGTATAAATCCACATAACTATCAGGTTTTGAGGCAACAATGGTGCACCCAGGAATTGTTTTGAATTACAACAACACTGTTTATTGAGCCGCATTTTGTTTACTTTTATAGATAACCTTTTGCACTCTAAACTACGTTAACAACTGCTCATTGAAATCATATGTGAGACTAATATAAATTATGATTTACTACTATAGTTTTCATTCAGCTGTATCCCTGCTGAATACCACGATGGATAAAAAGAAGGATACAAAAGTATCTGGTATATAACTTAAACATTCTTTCCTTTGTCTAAGTCAAAACTATCAGGTGATAGAAATATATATATATATATATATATATATATATATGCAAAAGCAGAGAATCACGGACTTGCATGGTATAACAAACCATATTTCGGTGTGCTGTGTCGTGTTTTCAAAGCTTGGAACAATGCTTTTTCTGCTCCAAGTATTTGAACTGTTGCTAAATTAAGAAGCGTCCCGGCACGAGCAATTAACCTTGCCCCAATCAATTCGCCAACAAGTGATGTAAGATTAGGAGCGACTGCAACCATCCTTTTGACGAGATAATCATGTAGTTGAGCTTGAGAACTAGAAGCCTCTATAACTTGATCACACAATTCATTGATCATCGCGATATCTTCATCTATAACTTCTGTTCCGAGGGAGACAATAGAAGCTTCCCTTATCTGACTAGCTACATCATCGGTTACGAGATCAGATAGGTCTACACTGGCATTCACTCTATGACCAATTCGTTTGACGACATTTACATAAGTAATATTATCCACAACGATTTTCGACAATTCGGGAAAATGCCAACCGTACATTTCTTTAGCACGCATAATGTAGTTATTGATCTCTTTGTCTAACTCATCCATCAGACCGACTGCTTGAACTATCATTGTATCAATCTTGTCCGGGTTGCATTTCAACTTGTATCTGTCAAGACTGTGAGCTAATCCTAATCGCATTCTTGACATATGCCCGTCATCAACTACCGGTAGAAGAGTATCCAAATGGCAACGAATACATCACGGATTGATTGATGGTATACGAGCTTACTTTGTAACCAGAAGGTGCTGGGTTCGAACCTTAATATCTGTTTTAGCACTTTCAGCTTCAGGGTATGCACATATAACGGGTGTTTATCAAGGATCAGAGAAGCGTGTTTTCTGTTATCCATCTTAAATAAAACTTGCCTTTCAGAAGAAAACAAATGTTATCTTATTTGAGAGTTTTGAAACAATTGATTTAAGAACTTTCCTTTTTCATACAATTATTGTGTTTTCCTTGATAAACTTGAACAAATCGAAAAGATTAAACCGAGCATGATAACTTGAATAGAGGTGTAAAATGATGAATAGCACGTAAGGGTTAATAAATAATTTAGTTGAACAGAAGTCGAAAACTGCTCTGGCTAAGAATACAGATAAAGACAAAATTAAGGGTAGAAAATCACCTTACAAAAACAAAATATTATTAAAATAACAAAATTAAAGTAACATTAAGTATATTCTCCTTGATAGAGCAAGATTAATAACGATTGTTTTTTTTTTGGAAGTATAAATAATACCAGCAACTTTATTCTGGACAAAATACATAGTACACAGAATTCCCAGTGAAATTTAATGCATAATATTGTCTTTTAGTCGAGAATCTTCACGTGAAATAAATAAACCACACAGCACAACAGGTGGCTCAATGTCATTCGATCTGCAGCATAAACCAAAAATCCCTTTTGATACTTTTCCTTTGTCTCCCGAGAGAAATGCTGAGCAGTAGCACTTTGAAAAACGTTGAATCAGTTGTGTTCCCTGAGCTGGTTGACTTAATAGCGAAGCTTTCATCGTCCTTCTAGACAATATCTTCAGCTAATGTTTTAGTTTAAAATGCATTAATTTCATTTCTCCATGAATGATATAGTTGTATCTTCTGACGACCACTGTCGTGACTGTTTGTTGATTTACATCTCTACAGATCATTTTTATTCACTTGGAATTCGAACTTTCCTGTTCCTTTCCTTTATTAGCTGGTAAATTTGGTCTATAGTAATATGTTTATTAATCGCTGGCTGATTCACTTGAGTACCAGGCTTATAGGAATTCTGTAACTGCAGTTTTGGTGTTTCCTTTATTTAAAAAATTCTACATTATCCCAATCAAATTGGTGTCCATAATTATTCGCATGCATTGATACGAAAGAATATATATCATATCTTTTTACAGTTAATTTGTGTTCTTGCGTCCGGCTTCGAAGAGAGAGGACACCCACTTTGACGGATGTAGTGCTTACTTTATAAATGGTATTAATTTTATGTTCTTTTCTTGTTGCATCTTTTGCTTTGCACAATATCAAGTAAAGTGAGTGTGCTAACTTGTGTGCTATTTCAAAACGGTCTTAACATTCTAGCTGTTATTTCGGAGATATTTTTTATGTATGGTAGGATGATATATTTTGTGTTTTTTTCTGTTGACTTGTTGTTGGTTTTATGACTTGAGTTTAAACACTTTTTGATGACAATTAAGACAGAAAAATAGAAAATATAACTGAGCACATTTTACCACGCAAGGATATCGTATACTGGTAATCACTTCAGCAATAAGTAGCAAAGCTGGAACTGTTTACAAGCCTTAATGAACCAATTTCATAGCTACTATTTAAAAAGAGGCAAGCAATCGCACTACTAAGGTCTTTTCCACAATTTACAAACATACACATAGTGTAATACTAACAAGTATATTTTGGCCTAGACACTAATCAACCACCATGTCAACAATTCACAGTGCACCGTGATGGCGAGCTACCTAGCCTGGTGGCCACATCGCAAACTTGACTGATAGAATTCAGTCGGCATCAAGGATATGACTAGACAGACACACACATTACACTAGTTACTGACTAATATCCAATCAAAAATATCCAATACAATCCCGCAGGAGGTCAATCGCGAGCCTGAATAGCTCAATGGCAACGTCTCTGACTACAGCACCAGACGGTGACACCGGTTCGAATTTCAGAAGAGATATGGGTTCCTTCAAGGTTGTAGATACGCCCTACTGATTGGTGGGTGCCAGGTAGCATGAAACCTGGCTAGGTCAAGCAAGGCTTCCTGTGCCGCTGATTGCCTCCAGCCATCTAATACTAACTAACAAGTACTTATGTGTGAAACAGTATTTTATCTTATTCTAACTTCATAGATTTCATTGTTTTGTTGTTGTTGTTGTTGTATGTTTTGCTTTTTTAGAAATTAAATATTGTCAAGTAAAAGGGAATAGAAAATCAACGTTGAATAGGGGACAAATCAAGGCATTCAGCATATCTGACTTCTTTTACTGTATTTCTTTCCACCGACCAAATAGATCTTTCATATATGTATACATATGTAAGTGTATTGCACACACTTTCTTATCTCCTGCTTCTTTCTGCCTTCTCCTTATAAAAACAAAATGAGCAATACTATTCAAAATAATTATGATATATTATTATGTATCCATAATAATAGTTATTAACAATAATAATAATAATACCTTGATAATTATTTAACTTGTGTATAGTAATTTATTTTATAACTCAATGAGATTCAATAAATATTTACAAGTACTGATGCGATAATATGCGTATATTTTTACCTACCAACTGACTTTATCCACCTATCCGTTTTATTTTTCATCTTTCATCCTTCACTTGTAACACCCTCAAAGCTACCTACCTAGGCTCCCTTTTCCTGCCAACTTCAGCTTACTAGATCGTGCTCATACTGTTTATACTCTAAAGCAAAACAATCTATGTATATTATACAAGTAAGCAAGTGTGTATTGAATGAATGAATGTGAGTACTGTTTTATATTGTTGTATGCGAAAATTAAACAAAAACTTGAACCAAATTGAAATATAATAAACAACAATAACAAAAAGTGATTCGGATTTGTTTTCTGATTTGTTTACTCACCGCCCACCCCCCCCACCCCTTATTTCATGATTTCTTATGATTTATTTGTAGATAGGAATTTAGTAAAGGTTGGATAGTCAGTAAACAAATGATACTGTTTTCAGCAGTTCACAGAGAAAAATGAATGTGTTTTGCATACATCCTTGCGATCACAGTGAGTTGATGCGAAAAAAGGGCAAAACAGAAACATTTCCAGACTGATCATGAAATGACTTCAGTTATAGAATTAATGAAAACCAAAGAGTACTTGATGGCCATTTCGTCCTAGGTTGGGACTATTCACTAGTAGGCAATCATGACCGCCACCAGAGATTGAACCCAGGACCTCCAGGTAATAAAGTCAGGCCGTCATCTGATTCCACCTCACTGGTTGAATGACATGCATGCTCACCCTGGTGCGAGCATGAGTGCATACTACTGAAGAATGCCGAACAAGGACTAAAAAGATCTAAAACAATTAGTCCTTTTTATAAATGTTGATAGCGTTATTAGAAGACGGAAATTATCTGAAAAATGTGATGTATTTGCGCTATACATTTCGAACAATCTGACCACACATTTACTTGTCAAGTCAATATATATGGAAAAGTCAAATTAAACAAAATGACAAAAAAGAATTAAGAATAATTAACACAACTTTTAGTAATCTAATCAAATAAGGACTACCAAGGTAGGTTAACAGTAATAACAAACTGTTTTTGAATACACAAGGGGGGCTTAAGTTTATGAATAGCTGTAGCCTCAGCGTATTTCAGTAAGCGCCCTTGACCGTTTTTATAGATGCCCTTGAAGGCTGAGTTCACATCAGTCCTATGGTTCATCTTGATTAGACGTTTAGCTATAGACGAAGTTGGTAGTCTGACACCTGCATCTATTGGCTTTACACAATTCATTTGTTTTTCTAACCAATTTGGGATATGCACTCCCACCCACCCTCACACGCAAAGCACGACTACTCCTCCCTATGTATGTGTGTCCACACACACACACGAAAAATAGGTGAATTGTGTGGGTTGTGACATGATCACTTGTGCACTTTTGAGGTTTGCAGTGAAGTAAGTATATTTTTAGCTTTTTCCACAATTACAAGCTGGGCTGCATAGTAGGTTCTACGGATGATCGAATTCAACCTGTCTCAAAATTCTACTGTTTATTTCCCCGTTGTATGGTAATTTGATGAAAGCCTTTTTCTTAGGGGCGATATAAAGATCTCAGATACTCCGTGGTTTTCGGTGGTTATCTAACTGAAGTTAGTTCGTGATTAAACTTGAAATCAATCAAATCCCTTCAAACCAACATTTGAAAAATATTTTTGAGCTCAATTTATCGCAGTCAATCGCACTGTTTACTTATTGGTCAAGAAGTTGTACTATTTCAAGTCATTTTTCATACAGTCTTCAGTATCAGACTCGCAACCACCAACTGCTTAATTATTTAAAGATGAATATTTCCATACGCACATCTAAAGTTTACCTGTAGTTGACAGTTATTTCAGTATAGTTCCAGATTTAGCGAAGGGTTGGAAAACAAAAACAGACTTTCGTTAGTTTGAAATTAATGTGGAAATATGGTATACCCAGTATAAGGAGCAAGATTCTGATATTCAACACTAATATCAAGCCAGTTTTGCTATATGCTTCGAAGACTTGGCGCGACACCAAAAGTATTTCCGACCACATGTATCAAATATCCATATCGTAGAGACTCTGAACCTATCTCAGAATAATATGCACTGTAACCGACGTAGAAGAACAAAAAATGGTTGGATAATACAATTGTTTATCCTTCAACCAACAACGAAACAGATTTACAATTGTTACTCAGTACCAAGGTCTGTAAGTAAAGGTTATATAATGTTCAACAATGCTTCTGATGGCATTTCTCCGAACTTCTACCAATCAGTATACGATTAAGCAATGATAGCCTTCTTGTCTCCCGCCAATATGGAAGCTAGTACGAACAAAATGTTATGTACTGGTCGAGAATTTAATAGTCCTGACGCAAGAAAGACGGAAATTCAGA